GACTTTTTTTTGCTGAAAATGGACAAAAATGAACTGATTTCATGATTGATTAATTAAAAATATTTTTATGGGAAGAAGAGGGGAACTACGATATGCAATATGTTAGGAAGGAGGTGATAATTGTTATGTTTGTAACTGCTGCAAAGAAAATTAGAAGTTGGCTCTTTAGACAACTTCCTTTCTCTTGTTTTTTTCTTATTCTTCACTTTTCTTTTTACCTTTAATAATCTTTTTTCTTCTAAGTTTCTATCATTTTTTTAAAATCTTAGTAAAATCTTCTTTTAATAAAAAAAAATCATAAAAATATGAATATCTTCAATAATAATGTGCCTCCCAAGCATCCCCAAGGCTTAAAGGAGCAGGGGTGATAGGTACTGCAAAGTGTACTGTTGACTTGGAGAAATTACCTCTACCCATAATGAATGACAAAGGCATAGTAGTTGAAATCCAGCAAGCACAATTAACAAAGGAATCAGTTACCTACAGAAATGGCTGTACTCTCCCTCACTGGATGTGATAAGACATGCTGGCTGCAGAACTCTGGGAGTTGAAGTACACAGGATTTAAAATTGCCAAAGTTGAAAAACACCACATTCACTTTTTGTCAATTCATGTTGTCAATGAATTGAATTAGGTTTCTGTTCTTGGAAGAGGGAATCAATGGATCAAATTACTGCTTCATTTTCAGGATTCCAAGATTCCCATATTAGCTTTACCCAATCTTGTGTTATCCAAGTATGATAGAAATAAAACTCCCAAAATTTTCAGCTAGCAGAAATCTACCTACCGCACCAGACTGGCAATGCCTGCCCTATGTATGCCCCTTCTTCCTTTCTGCCTTTTTTTAAACCATTTTTGTCAATCAGTATATATACTATTAGTTTATCATATGAAGGAGGCAGCAGTTGTTTTTCAGAATTAACATAGGCACAACACTGAACATTTATCACATTCTGTCTTCCTCCAACTAATAATAAAAGGCTATGGGGTTTCCATCTTGTTAAAAGAAATGTATTACACCAAGAAATGATGGTAGTTTCTTTACTGAACTATATATTTTCTTGCAAAGGAAAGGTATTGTCAGTCCTAGGCCTGTTTCTGAATGCTTGTAAGAGGTATAAATGTACTAGCCAAAGGGTTTGGCATTAGTTGATTTTGATTACAAAATTGCGCAGCCTGTCATTTCCATGACACACTTACTAGAGTCTAATAAAAACTGACTAATTTGTATGTTTAGGGAAAATCCAAAAAAGATCAGACAACAGCAAATTAAACATCAAAAGGGCAAATGAAGAAACAGA